GAGGGTTTCATTAAAAAAAATTACTACATCATTTCCAGTGGTGGGATTCAAATTGTTCTACCACCGGTTCGGTAGGCATGCTTTGCCTAACACCGGCACGTAGCTTTCCCCACACCAGCGGAGACTTGCTGTGCCAATCATCTGAGTGGATAAAGAAAAGCGCAGGGGTGGGTGGGAGGACCAATCCTGCACTTTTCTCTTCTTTCTGTGGGAGGATTTTTTTTTCCTCCTCTCAGCTGATGTTGGAGGCTTTTTTTAACCACTGTTTGGGCCGAACCACTACTGATCCTTTCTAGATGTTACAGTGCACCATGTGCACTTCTGCATGGTAGAAAAGTGTTTCACCAATGTTTGTTATGAGATGGGGGCTCTTCAGAAAAGATTTTTGGGAGTTCCTAAGTGGTGTAGGTTGTCCATTTCTGGTTTAGACCCCACAAGTTACACTCAAAAGATGATAACCTGGACAGGAAAATAAGTGTAATGCAAAATCACCACCAGTAAAGTAAAGCATATTGAGCAACAGAGATGCAAAGAAAATACTGTAATCAGCACTTTAGCGTATTTTATAGATATTTATATGCCATTCCATAATGTAATATTTCATAATGATTTTCAGAAATAAATTTATAATACTTGGGAAAAATGAATTTAAGCAAAGGAATGAGGGAGCAGGAGAAAATGAGGGCAGGCAACAATCAGACATAGTTAAATCTAAATGTGTTTCATATATTTTATCTGCTGGAGCATATGCAAAGTTCTATGAAGAGAAGCATGTCTGGGAGGCCTTGTCTTTGGACTACTGAGCAGGTGTTTTCAGAAAGATAAAAATGAAAAAAATAATGGAAACACTCCCCTTGCAGAGAGCAACTGCTGTTTTGTTGAATACTGATATAAGCTGTGTTTGTTAGTGGTCTATAGAAGTTATGTAATTATATGCCAGAAAAATAATACACAGCAGAAGCAGTCTTTAAAAACAGCTTCATTTCTCTAGGTTTATCTAGAAATAGAATTTAGGATATATGCAATGCATATAGAAACTCCAATGCAAACCCCAAATACTTTCAATAATTTTGAATATAATTTTGAACTTATATGAATATATAGGATTATCATATCTCTAGACTGATCTAACATTTCTTCAGAAGCAAAGGAATAATTTTGCAACATTCTATTACTGACATTGCCCTAAAATGAGAATATTTGTGAATATTCTATAACATAGCAGTTCACTTCATGTCAAGACAATAAGGAAAGCTGGAGCACTTAGATAACAAATTATTATTACTGATGATGTTATCTAGTTTGGGTAATGAAGCTTCTGCAAGAAAACAACCAAGCTCAGAGAACACCAACGACCTCTCAAATTATCAATACTTTACATATCCTTTAGAAGTTTCTTCCCTTGTTTTGTTGTTCAGTCACTAGGCTGCTTCCAACTCTATGTGACCACAGCACATCAGCTCCCCTGTCCTCTACACCGAGTTTGCCAAAATTCATGTTCATTGCGTGGATGACACTATCTAACCATCTCATCCTCTGCCGTAGCCTTTTCCTTTTGCCTTCTATCTGTCCCAATATTAGGTCTTTTCCAATGAATCCCCTCTTCTCCTTAGGTGGCCAAAGTATTTCAGCATCAGCTTCAGTATCCCTCCTTCCAAAGAACAGTCAGGGTTGATTTCAAATGATTTTTTCTAGCAGGCAGTAATATCTTACTGGATTAAACAAATGTTACATGAAAATCCACAGTAGTTTCTGAAAATACACAATCACTGGTTTTTTTTTAAATCAATAAAGCCAGTTTAAAATATCAGGTAGTTTAGGTGCCTACCTAAGTTTAGGAAGAATGGCTACCACTTATCATGTGACTTTTCTTCCTACTTCTTCCAACATCAGTTATTCACATATTTTGTTTTCTGGCTAAACCATACCTTATGTTTCAAAAGGAAGTTTCTTACATTTATAAATATGCGGAACTTCACCTGGTAAATTGTTAAATTTCACAAATGTATCTGATTATATCTACATAATCTCTCTCCCCAAGTTGTGAAATTGTTTTTCGTTCTTCCTGTAAAAGTTAAAAACAAAAAAGTTATATGTTATTGTATGTGGATGCATTCATGTATGTATATAAGCTTTATTTTTTAAATGTGCTTTATTAAGCAAGATGCACACATGTTCACGTTCTGAAGTTGTTTATTTTTAAATGGGGAACCAGTATACTACATAATCCCCCCAACTAACACAGAAGGCTGCTCCTTTTTGTGTTTATGGGAGCTGATGCTAAGGGCCAGCTAGAACCAGATTTAAGAGGTCTTCCATAATTCAATTTCAAGAGAACCTCTCAAAGGGCCTCTTCTTTAGAGCCAATTCCAACACTGGGATATTTAAAGCATGATCTGGGCACCCTTACAAAAGGGCTGACTTGTGGGACAAAACCACTCACATAATATCGATTTATTGAAGTCAAACTGACAAGGAAGGTCCAGTTCCTCTGTTGGCTGTGATTGTGCTTTTTACCATTTTGCACCACAAGAGGCTTTGAACTGCTTAAAGATCCATAAAGGCTTGAGAGAGATTTTAAGTACTGTAATATTTAATCAAGAGAGAAGATGTATTAATACATGGCTGGAATAATTATATCAATTGTATATAATTTCAATGAACTACAAATATAAATATCAATCCAAAATTGCTGCACTCAATCCACAATATGCCATGGAAGAGCCGTGGTGGTGCAGTGGTTAGAATGCAGTATTGCAGGGTAATTCTGCTGACTGCCAGCAGTTCAGCAGTTCCAGTCTCATGGGCTCAAGTTTGACTCAGCCTTCAATCCTTCCAAGGTTGGTAACATGAGGACCCAGATTGTTGGGGGCAATATGCTGTCTCTGTAAACTGCTTAGAGAGGGCTGTAAAGCACTGTGAAGCAGTATATAAGTCTAAGTATTATTGCTATTTAGAAAATGTGTTTGTCCCTTGGTCCGGACAGAATTGCATACTTCTGCCTCTTATTTGCATATTTTGCCTCTTGTTTACAATTTAGCACAAATAAATTTCTAAAAATCTTAATTAATACAATAATGACTTGAATCTTACAACTTAAAAAACATTAGGGACACTTCAGTAACTAGTGTTATTTTCATGTTTCAGTAAACAACTCAATATTATGGCACCATCATGTGGTCATTTATTACTTACATTACTTATATTATTTAAATTTACCTTAATCAGGGAACAAGTATAATGATGGAAGTGAATTGTTCCAAAGGTGAGTTTCATTATAATTAGGGAGAGTCATCTCAATATGTAAAACAGATTTCAATTTTGGAAAATGGGCTTAGATTCATTTTGCAGGTTACATATGTTACATTACTCAAGAGTAAATAAACATTCACATCGAGAAAACAGTACACTAGTTAACATATATCAAATAAAATTTACACACACAGATAAAATGTAACACCCCCCCAAATTACAACAAATGCCAAAATTGTGTTAAATTATGTTTCATCTCCCTGTCCTGCATCAACCAAGTGTTTAAAATAAGATCTAGATTTATTGCTTTCTTTTTTATATTGTATTAGGTATATTTTAATGGTATACAATCCAGAGTCATTGCCTACAAATATGATTTATGAACAAATATAATGAAAAAATTATTCAGAAGAAACTAAACTAAACTAAATAGTAATTTCAACATTGTTGGTTACTTTCCAACAATTTTAATACACTGATATATTTTGATAGCTGGAAGTGAAGAATATAATTCAGGAGCCAGAGTTTGCTTAAGAAGCCCCACTGAAAAACAAAGCATCATTTTTGACCCATTCATTTTGTCACTTATTATATTCCACCTTATCTTAAAAAAATTAAGGCAACATGGCATATTGTAGAACTCTGTTTTTTTCTTAAAACAATCCTGCGAGATAGATTAGGCTGGAATCAAATTCCAAACACATAACAAACTTTCCAAATGAGATTGGGTTAAACCTGAATTACCCATCCCACCTTTTCATGTTTTTCCAAAAAGGCAATCTGGTTTGTGAATACAATATTCAATAGCCCACAATGGAATTGCTCTGCTGAGGGCAAACAGCAGATCAGTTGGAAAGCCAGAGTTCCTACATGTTGGACAAAGGATGAAGATTTGTGTGTTTTTAGCACACTGCAGCCAAGTTGTACATTATGAACAGTGTGAGAAATTTATCCTGAATCATTCACAATGGTGTAATTTCCTTTACTCAGGTTTGTTGAACAAGCCATAGTAACCTGGTTAACATATACTTTGCTATAAACCAAGGATCTCCAAATTTGGCAACTTTAAGACTTGTGGACTTCAACTCCCAGAATTCTCTAGCCAACTATGCTGGCTGGAGAATTCTGGGAGTTGGAAGTCCACAAGTCTTAAAGTTGCCAAGTTAGGAGGCCTCTGCTATAAACTATGGCTCACAAACCATAATGGCTTAATTTATAAATTATGCTAAACGTAAAATGAGTGTTTTAATAGTTCAGTAGGGTTGTGAAGTCCTACTTGGTTTAATTTACTACACGCACGAGTTAGCATGTTCTGCAAACTCACCCTCGTACGAGCGACATTTGAGCCCAGATGGAATCCGAAAGAAACCAGACCGAATTTCCCGGCAAACCTTTTTCCCCCCCTTTTTGTTTTCTCCTTAGTTACAGTATGGAAAGTTTAGCTAGGGCGCTTCTTTCCGCCAACCCCTCTCAGAAAGTTGGAGCTTTCAACTCACAATAACAATATCCCTACGAACGTATTAGGTGGTGCACTTTGTTTTTCAGTATTTTTAAATAATATAAAAGAAAATAAGAATTTAGCCGCTGACACTAAAGAAACCGAAGTATTACGTTTGGCCAAGCGTTATCATAAATACGGAGCCTCCCACCTTACTTCGGGGGCGCGCACTCTCTAGGGCCGCCCATGGCGTGCTTCCGTACCCAAAAAAAAAAAAAAAAAAAAATAGTGCGCGTGCACGGCGATGGGCGGGCCCGGACGCTTTTCTTCCAGGGCTGTTTTCCGGTCTTGAAAAGGCGGGGCGAGCGGAGCCGAAGGGGTTCGGAGAGAGAGGACGAGCGGCCTCTTTACTCGTTTCAGTCGCCATGGGTTTCTTGCGCCGCTTGTGTCTGCTGGGCCTCCCGCTGCTCCTCTGGACTCTGAATACCATGGCCTTGGCGGCCCAGGGGCAAGAAAGTAAGAAGAGACCTCTGCTCGTGGGACGTGGGCGGTAGAGAGGGAATGTCGTCGGAGCAGTTGCTAGGCTCCTTGTATACTGTGTGCCGCCGCTTCGGCTTTTTCTTCTCTTCAGCTTTGAGTCAGAGTTCAAAAAGCAAAGAGAGCAGCGGGTGTATTTTGGAGAATGGGGAGAGGAAAATAGAGCCGCCAGCCTTGTGGTTTGGTCTCCGGATCCCTGTGTTTGCTGTGTCTGAGTGAGAAAGGAGGTGCAAAAAAAATAATCAGTAACTCAAGAGTGGACAACAACCTATGGCTCTGCAGAAGTTGAACTAAAGCTCTCAGCGTGCCTTATAATTTGGAATTAATGGGAGGTGCGGTTTATCGGTATCTGCAAAGCTGCATATTTGTACACCAGAGCACTGGTGTTTAATCTGTTATGTAACTATTACATTAATTTAAAAGTTTACTTTCACTGTATTCAACATTGTCTTTCCCTTTTCCAATGTTTAACATTCAAATAACTATGAAAGTTATTTGACAAAAAGCATTCTACAGTAAAAATATAGTACCCAATTTCCCATTGTAAAGGAGATGCTTCAAAAGTTTAATACCAATTAATATTTCAATTGTAATTAAAACTGGGAATTGTGTATACGTGTCTTTCTATGCCTTAGTGTTAGTGTTGCTTCCTGGTGACTACCTGTACAAGTCTACTTTCCTTGGAACTGCCATTGCTAGTTTCCTAGGGCTGAGTGACTGGCCCAAAGTCACCCAGCTGACTTCATGCCTCAGGTGGGATTAGAACAGTTTCTGGATTCTAGCCTGTTGCCCACACAAAACTGGCTTTCAAAATGATATAGCACTGGTATAATAATTTACATCTAATCCTGTTGGTCTGCATTACTTGGACACAAACTCTGGCATTTGAGTTTAACACATTTAATTTGTATAAAGCAGGATTGTGATTATATATCCCTATCAGTATTATATGTAAATAAAATGTCTGACCTGATAGTATATGCAACTACCGCTATGCTAAAGCATTATGTGAAAACCTTGATTCTGAAACAATTTTCTTTTACCTGAACAAAGTATATATTAACCTGTTAAGAATTGTGTAAGGTTGTTTGAGAGTCAGTTTGGCTAGAAATCAGGAGACCATGAGTTCTAGTCCTGCCTTAGGCACAAAGCGAACTCCATGATCTTGGACTAGTCATTTTCTCTGAGCCCTAGGAAGGAGGAACAGGGGAAAAAACCACTCTGATCTTTGCCAAGGAAACTAGAGGGACTTCTCCAGAAAGTGTCTGAGAATCTCACATAAATGGGAAAAAGACTGCTAGTTTTGTAGAAGAGAAGTTTAACAGCTGCCTTTAAGTATAAAAACAGTTGGTTGTTGACTTCTCTCCAAACAAGAAGTAAGTATTATTACAGACAAATAATTTTGATTCTGGACATTCAATCACAAAGGATCCAGCCTTATGTCTGATTGCAAAACAAAACAAAGTCAGAGAAGAAGCTGGGAAAATGAAGATATTAATTTAATTTATTTATTTTCACAGTGGGGTGTCAGAAGTACACAAATAAAACTTGTGAAGAATGCCTGAAAAATGTCACAGTAAGTAACACAATTAGAAACATCTTTGCTCTGAATAAAATCCTGATCTACACTTGCAGTGATTTGAAGGGCAGCCTAATCTAGAGCCATTCAGATATTCTGATTTATATAACAAGTTCTTGCATTACAAAGTACCATACTAGTGTCATAAAAATATTTCTGCATGTGTTATTAAGTATATGTACATATTTACCCAGCTTCCTGATTAGGATATCACATGACTGTGTAGATAGTGGACTGTTGAAATAGAAACAGGTGATTATATATATTTAATTTAAGACAAGGAATGGTAATGTTAAGACAAGGAATGGAACTTAAAAAAGTCTAAATTTTTAAGCAGAATTGTTTATGTATTTTATCTTGTTTGTTTAAAAATGTGATAAGTTGAATTTCAAGAAATACTGCTATTTTCGGGCTTCTGGTTTGAGCTTCTTTGAGCTTCTTCGGCGACAGACAGAAATCCGCGACCGTGCGCGGTTTCGGTCTGGGCTCGCTGCTGGAGCGCCCCAAGCCGGCTGGTTTCGGGGCTAAGCCACCCCGTAGAGGTGAAGAGGGGGGAGACTGCCAGCAGGGTTGAGGAGAGCTGCATCTCTCCTCAGCTGGCCATTACTCCCTTTCCCAAAGGCGGTTGCAGCGGTGGTCAGAAATGGCCACCTCAAAGAAGAACTTGACCGGAAAAGAATGTGCAGTAGGAAGATAAGAAGTGAAAGTTTTGGCTGACTGGGTTAAATTGCAAAAGCAACAACTAAGGTACCCTGGAATTTAAACTAAAAAAAAAAAATAACATTGTTCCCAAAGAAGAGTCTGAAGCAGCAAAGGAAAGTGAAAAGGGAAAGGTTTGGTTTTTTTCCCCTTCTCTCCCTTTCCCTAAGAGACTTAAATAAGAAATCGGGAAAAAAATCCGCTTTGACATCAACAGGCAATTAAGCTGAAAATAAAACAAAATGTCAAAGGGATAATAAAGATTTCTGGATACTAAAAAAATTTTATAAGCAGGAAAGGAGAGAAAAAGAATAAAAGGGCAGGATCTGGAAAAAAGGGAGGAGACTGCCTGGAATTAAAAGGAATCTACAGTAAAACTTCAACAAGACTTCTAAAAGATACATTTTAACTGAAACTTGGCAACTAAACAGTAGAACCCCAGGAAGAGAAAGTGAAAAAAAAAGCAAAAAGAAACAGCTTGCGTGTATTTGGATTACTTGGTGATCTTTGGATTCTTGGTTATTGCATTTGAATGACTAAAATTAATCGGGTGGTTGTTTAAAAATTTATACAATGGCACTACTTCTGGATGAATTGAAAATGGAACTTAAAAAGTACAAAGAAGATGCACAAGAAGGGAGGGGTTCTTTTGGCTTTGTTTTTCAATTCTTAGAAATGGAGATTTGGAACTATGAGAAACAAGAAACATCTGCAAAACAAGAAGACTGGGACAAAGAAGAAGCCATCTTTAATGAATAAGTAATTCTATGTGGGGAAGAAAAAGGAAAGGGGGGAAAGAGAATGGAGAACTTAGGACTTAAAAAAACAACCAAAGAAAAGAAAAATAGTTTGAAAAATAAGTATAATATTGGAAAGCAACAGAAGAGGGGAATACAGAAGAGAGAAATAGAGGTAGAGAGACAAGGGGGTAAAAAGGGGAGAGAGAAGAAGAGAGGGAAGAAGGAAAGGAAAAGAAGTTACAAAGGACAGAAACAAGATATAGAGAAACAGGGCCTATTTAGAGATAATGGGTGAAAATTTAACTGAAAAAGGGATTCTGTAAAGGTACATAAGATTGTATTGTTATATTAGTAATAGAAATAATTTTTGAAAATTGGAAACAATGTATGATTAAAATGAGGTATAAAATAGTTACTGTAATCTAGTGAAATGTTTGTGAATAAAATAAATGAAATAAAATAAATGAGAAAATTGAATTAGGAAGGAACGGGAACATTTTAATTAGTTAATGTTTTATAAAATATAAGTGAAGAGGGGGGGAAATTAATTATGGAAAGCTTATAACTGTTCCCATAGAAGTATGATATTTAATTGAAAAGTAATGTTAAAAGAAGTTAAGATTTTAATGAATATTAACATTAATGATAGAATTGAATTGGAATGGAATGTGTTGTTTTAATTACATATATTTATAATCTTTTTTTTTTTTGAAGAATATAGTGTGTATTTTAAGAATGTACCAAGCAGAATCCGAATGGAAGTTATGTATTATATTGAATGTTATAACTTTAAGGTATATATTGAAGCCTAAATAAGAGTTAAATGGATAAACTTGAAAGATATAAAGGTGTCATACTCCAATCAGTAACTAGAGGAGAAACTTTGTTTAATGAGAAAAGATAATATGAAATTGAAACAGGACAGACAAAAAGTATAAATATAATGATTTGAATTGAGACGAGATAATTAAAATAAAATTGAGAAAATTAAAAGAGGGAAGAAGCTATGTAGAAAATGTAAAACAGTAATAAGATATGGAATAGAACATAAAAATGAGCATAAAATTGAATTTGTGTCTGTACGAAGAAATGTAACCCGGGATTACGCTACTTTCAAAAAGGATGTTTTATTTGTATTTTTTTGTGAAAACTCAAATAAAATTTACAAAAAAAAAAGAGAAATACTGCTATTTTCTTTCTTATACTGTTATAATGCTCTGAAAAACCAGTGATGGGATTCAAATATTTTTAACACCGGTTCGGTGGGCGTGGCTTGGTGGGCGCACTTTGCACGTGTGCACACACTTTGCGTGTGCGCACGTGTGCCAAACACATACTTTGTGCAGGCGCAGAGACATTCTAACTCACCTCCTGCAAGCCTGCACTCTCCTGGTCGCTTCAGCAGCAGGGGTGGGATTCTACCAGTTTGCACCTATACGCTAGAATTGGTTGTTAACATTCTAAGCAGTTCGGAGAACTGGTTGTTAGAAGAAATTACTGGCCTGATCCTGTAAGGAAGTATCTCCGTTAACCCTTATTACATTCTTGGCAGGACTAGACTTCCTGCCTCTGGAACGTCTCTGGAGTTTTTTTTCCCTTCCTTTACTGGTACTTTGCTTGTGTGGAGTGACCATTGAAAAAAGTGACTTATGACCATTTTTCACACGACTGTTGCAGCATCCCCACAGTCAAGAGAGGCCAGGCGAGGAGATGCATGCCTCTATATGAGTGATGTTGAGTTGGCTGCCACGCCCAGCCAGTAACATGACCACCAGGCCATATCCACACAGTCACATGACCACCAAGCCACGCCCACCAACTAAACCACGCCCACAGAACCGGTTGTTAAAAATTTTTGAATCCCACCCCTGTTCAGCAACTGCCACACAGCATTCTGCTGTGCCGCGCAAAGCAGCTATGCTTCAAATTCAGAGGATAAAGGTGAGTATGGGAGCCCGGGCGGGCGGATGGGCCCAACAGCGAGTGGTGGAGAGAACCGGTTCGGTCTCTGCTGCTCATTGCTGCTACTGGCTCGGCAGAACTGGGCCGAACCAGTAGAATACCATCACTGTGAAAAACCTATTCATGCCCTATTTCAAATTGTTGATAAATTCTGTTTAGAAACAGTTTGAATCATATAATTGTAGAACCTAAGCTAATGCTAAAGATTGAGGAAGGAAGAAACAGTTTTATTTGTTCTCGAAAGTTATATGTTAATTATATGGAAATGGTATATTACTAATGAATACAATTCAGTTTTGTACTTCAGATTACTCAGTATGATTCCTAGGGATATCGGTGTACTTGCAGATATCTTCCTTGGTGCTAGATGAGTTCCCTATTCCATCTGAATTTTTACAATTGCTAATACTTACTATAAAACAACAGAATAAACAGCTCTAGCTTCCATTATCATAATTTCCTAGAATGCCTTGAGGTTACAAATAATTTAATAGTGTGAGTCATAATATGGTGAAACGCTGCTCAGCCATAAAATGTCTCCTCTATCCCTTTGCACAATGGAATGGCTATTGTAAAAAAACAAGTTTGTCATGCAAAAGAAAGCTAATTACATCTGTTTTATTTCTGATTTATGTTTATGCTACCTTTCTACTTAAAAAGGATTTCTAAAAGTGCAAACCAAACTGGTGCAAAAGTGATCTTACTGAGTAATATTAGCCTAACTACATTTACATTGCAGGTCTGAATTCTAACTTGGAAATTAGCCCCCTTGGGCTTTATTCTGAGAATTGAGCTCTGAATGTTTCAAAACTTGAGCTATTAATTACTAGTGGGCCCCAAGAGTCTCCCGCTCTGCTCTGCAGAATATGCAGTTTCTGCATATTCTGCATAATATGCATGTATTATATAATAATATGCAGCTGCGCTTGTGAAGTTACCTTCTTTTCAGATGCAGAGTAAGAATGAGCATGCATCTAAGAAGCATGCATAGCTTGTTCTTGCTGCTGTTTTGTGATAATCATCTGAAGGGAGAATGAATTATAGCATCCATTCTTCACAATCTTGTATCCATGCCAGGAAGTAGAAATGTTTGGCATGGCACAGGATACATAAGGTCTGAATTTTGGTTCCCATCTGGTTGGAATTTACAGAATTTGTAGTCTGAAACTAAATCTATTAGTATTTTGCATGGTTTGTCTAAAATTAATGTTTTGGAAAAATTTCAATCTTCTAAAGAAGTTTGCTTGTATTAAATCTCATAATTGTTTTTAGATGATACTCTGGAAATCCATTTCTACCCATTAGTGCGAAAGACAGTTAAAAAATTAAAAATGGGGAACTGAAAGAATGTGTAATTTTAAACAACATTTTGTCTTAGATAGGGTTGGAAGGGTGGCAAAAAAAGAATAAAATGTAAGACATCAGCATGGGAAAGAGTCAGATGCATGTCATGTGGCACCTTAGTGTGAAAGGGAGACACTGCCCTGTAAAAGAACAGAAATTTCTTTATTCAAAGAGGAGCTAGTTAAAGAGGAAAATAGCAGAATAGATGATTATGCATTTGAGTAGTTTATAGAAAGGTTAAAGCAAAAGCATGAAAAATGATTATCAACTTGCTAAATTATATGAAACAAATATTAGGGGAAAGAAGAAAATGTTTACAATTGTTAAAAAGTTTTATTGTTTTAATTGTTTGGAAAAACAATGAGCTAAACTGCCTTTTCAAGCTTTTTGAAATGTATAAAGTTAACAATACTTTAAATTCCAAATTAAGTTCCACACTAGCCAAGAATCAGTATTATAGTTTTGTTGTTTGACAGGAGCAGAGAAGCCTCCTATATAAAATTAACATTTTATAAGGCATTATGAAGAACAGGAGTTCTAAAAAAGTTTCTTCAGCAGTGATTTTTTCCCCTACAGTTGTCATAGTAAAGCCTGCACTGCAGCTCAGTTTAGCAGATGCATTGGGAAGACACTTTGCCATGTTATACACACATAAAGTCCAATTGGCTATTTTATACATGTGTACAAAGATGCATGCAAACAAAATCCGAAGGATATTTGTGTATAGCGGGCAGCATTCCCCTCATTAATCCATTAAAGTGAGAGCTTACTGTTATCTTCTGTGGTTTATGTATCAGCTGATTTGCTTACTAAGCATTGTGTACAATAATAAATTGCTTTGATACATTTTAATGCTTATTTGAAACATAAATATTTGATTAAAAAATCAGAAATGCATAATGGAGACAAAGTGGATAAAATGATTGCAAATCACTGCAAAGAAGATAATTTCATAGTCTACATTGCTTTATAGAGTGAGCATAATATGTTGTCATGCCCCTGTCAGAATCTGGCTTGGACGGGGAAAGCCAAACAGCTGACAGGGAGTGGATGGTGTGGCTCCATTGGCTGTGGAAGAAACGGGATGGGCAAAGTCCATCTGGGCAGAGGTAGAACAAGGGAGAGGTAGAACAAGGGAGAGGGAATTCAGAGGAAGACCCAAGCCCACCCCCTCTTCATCCTAGGGCACGCAGGGAGGAACGGAGAAGGGAGCAACGTGAGTTGCGTGTCTTACGGTGGAGGAAAGGGACCTGATTCCCTTCATTAGCTGCAGCTGGGAACACAGTGTATAAAAAAGGAAGCTGCGCACAGCAAGCTGTTGGGAGTAAATGTGAATTTATCTTGTATCATTGTGGCTTATCTGTGTTCCTGATGTCTTCCTAACTGTATGAGTTTTGCTGTGCTTTCAAGTCTGAAATTCCTTCTCCTGCCCTGTCAAGCTAATTACTTCATCTTGGTTTGTTTGGATTTTTAGTTACAGATTGTATGTACCTTGTTTTGGACTGAATTTTCTATAGTTAAAGGCTGTTCCTGGGAGAGTTTTTTCTCCAACTGAAGGTAACCTGGACATTGGGGGCAAAGTTGGAGATAATAAAGGGACTCTTATTGCTTATTTGACTGTGTTGCCTTTGTGCCACACATGTATTGTTTCCGACAAAGAAACGTGTAAAGCTGAAGAATCTTTAATCTTATATGAGAATATGAAAATTATAATTGTCAAATAATGTACTGATGTACACTTGTTAGGACAATATGAAAAGCTTCAGGTTCCATTAGAAAAGTGATGCAATCTGCATGATACAGGAAAATATATAACTTTGAATCAGTGTATTTTGAATAGTGACAGCTTATCTTCAGAACAGATTATTCTTTAAACAGGTGGAAGTTATTGCAACTACCTGAAAATCAAAGGTAGAAAAGGCTATCTTGATGGATATTGAAAAACAGGATGTGCAGCATCTAGTGTGGCTTAACTTTTGTAAGGCATGCGGCAAAGATTGAAGAAAAATCTTGCTGGAAGTTGAGAAATGCTCTCCTTTAAATTTTAGCTAACAACCATTGATAGAGTTCACTTTTTAATTAACTAATCTGTCAGTTAAGCCTGCCTGCATGTTTGCAAGTTAAAGTTCTTAAATCAAGCATTTCTAAAGCCTTTGATGCCAGATTAGGACAAAAGTATTATTCAGTTCTGGAACTTAATTGGACTTGCTGTACCCCATTGGCACAAAATACTCGTATGATTAACAGAAATCCTGCTTATCCAGAGGGTTTATATCAATCTGTTTAAATGCTGTTTGCAAGTTTTTACCTATTTGTTTCTCTGTTTTTTTATTTTGCAAATGTTCTTGTTTGTAAATTTTGTACTTTTTCATAATAGTAAAGGCGTAATGTTTTTCAAAACGATCACTTGTGTGCTCCTTTTTTCCTTAAAATTATGAATTGGATTTTTTTCTCCTTAATTTTCTTGGCATAAAATGTGCTAAATTCAACATTTTGATAAGAAGCATTGCTGAATCAGTTTAACGATTAGCCTCCTGTTTTCTTCATGGGTAAACAAATGTTTCTAAAAGTACAGGACAGAAACTGCATTGGTCATTTCTGCTGATGACCTATGGCAGGACCTGGATGAGGACCATGAGCCTAGCCTGTTGGATTTCTTGGCAGTCTTTAATAGCATCGAAAATATAATCCTTCTGCATGCCTGGATTGAAAGGGATAGAAATTGGGGATATGTTCAATGGTGGCTCTGCTCTTTCCTGAATAGACGTTCTCAGTTAGGAATGACAGGGAGGATGAAAGATTGAGCCATTGGGCATTCAGTATGAAATGCCACAAGATTTGACTCTTTTATTTCATTTAATATCTACATTAAGCCCTTTGCCCAGCTAGTGTACCACTAATGACTATTCTTATCTAATAAAGATCACTCATCCTTTGTCACAGTTTGGATAATTTATTGTTTCTTAAGTTACAGACGCCTGCCCTTGAAAGCCGTCTAAAAATCCAGCTATAGCAAAAATAGCAGTCCACCTACGTGCATGGATAACTTGTTATTGCCATATAAAATTGGTTTCATGATTACCAGTTGGTTTCTGAGCATAACTGAAGATGCTGATGATAGCCTATAGAATTCTACATAGTTGAAGCCTGGACATCTACCAGGTTACTTACCTAAAATAAAATCTTCTCAAGGCATGGCAACAGGGAGTACCTACTAAGGGTTCCCAATCATACATCACAGAAGCAACTATTTTCTGCTGAAGCTCCCTTATTATAGAATGTCTTGCTACCAGAAAGGGGACTTTAACCCCATTCTTGAGATACAGGAAGCTAGTAAAACTTTTTTTTAAAAAAGAAAATGTATCTGAGCTAAATGCCATATTATGGTGATGACAATTGTGATTTGTTATTGTACTGATATAAATATTGTACTTTTATTTTTATTTGACTCGCATCTCCTTCAAGGCATGTGACAGAAACAACCCCCCCCCCCAAAAAATTGTAATGAATAATAAAGTACTGATTCATTTTTTAATTAACTTTTGCAATCTCTCTTACCTTGTGTTATTTAATCACATTTTTTTCTTCTAGTGTTTATGGTGCAGCAGCAGCAAAAAATGTGTGGAGTATCCTGTTCGGAATATCCTCCCTCCAAGTTCTCTTTGTAAGCTGAGCTCTGCACGCTGGGGTGTATGTTGGGGTAAGTTCACTCAAGAAATTTTCTTTTAGTTGTCACTAGCATGTTATGTTTCAGACAATAGCCTTCCTCCTGCAAATATTTCATATTACTGTAAAGTTTTGTAGGATTAACTTCTTAACAGAAGCTTACAGTTTCTTTGCAACATGTACAGTTCAAATTACCATAACTTTCAAGATGATAGGAAAAAAACCTCTTTTAGTATCAGCCATCAGTATCTTCCAGTTGTATCATACAAATTTTAATGGATTAAAATGTATTAGTTGCTAATCAATTCAAATATTAAGCCTCTGGTGATTGTATAAGGAATTGCAAACAGAGTCAGTGTGGTGTAGTGGTTAAAGTATTGGCCTAGAAACCAGGAAACGGTGAGTTCTAGTCATGCCTAAGGCATGAAAGCCAGCTAGATAACTTTGGACCACTCTCACACACTTAGCCTAACCCATCTCACGGAGTTGCTATTATGGAGAAAATAGGAGGAGGAAAGATTATTAGGTATATTCACCATCTTGAGTTATTTGTAAAATTATAAAGACTGGATAAAAATATAATTAATTAAAACAAAATATGACTGCACCGTATCATTCTCTGCTTGACTGCAGTATTTGGTAACTAGAAAATATGTAGATTCTGATTTTGAAAGTTCATATTAATGTGTATGAAAGTTAAAAAATTGGGGGGGGGGGTCTCAGCAGCAGCTAATTTGTCCTCCACCCCCATTTCAAATGTCAGATTCATGACTATAAGAGTTAAAATTTGTGTGTGGGAAAATCAGCTGCCACTGAGACTAAATATATTCAATTCTTTTTACTGCAGGGGGGCTTTAATTTAGCTCCTCGTAACTCATTTGTATGAAACTTCTCTAATGTATGTAGGTTCCTCAAGATACAAGCTTTCAATCTTTGCTTGAAATATTTTCTTTTTAAATAAACAAATAGCACTCAAAATTGACTAAATGAATATTTCCTTGGCAGTTAGTTTCCACACTAACTTTTTTGTGTTTAAATATTTCAGTGAATTTTGAAGCACTGATCATTACCATGTCTGTAGTGGGAGGAATAATCCTTCTCGCACTTTTCATCTGTTGCTGTTTCTGCTGCAGGAAAAAAAAGAACAAAAAGCAAGTATCAAATGATTTTGGGATAAATTTATATTAGAATAGCAATATGTTTTACTATAGTTTTTATTAAAGATATTTTTAAGAGAATAAAAATACAAATTTTGAAAGAGGAGTAATAAGTAAAAAAAAAAAGAGACAAATGAAAAATAGCAATAGCACTTAGACTTATATGATGCTTCTTAGTGCTTTACAGCCCTCTCTAAGTGGTTTACAGAGTCAGCATATTGCCCCCAACAATCTGGGTCCTAGTTTTACTGACCTTGGAAGGATGGAAGGCTGAGTCAACCTTGAACTGGTCAAACTCCTGGCAGTAGATAGAGTCAGCCTCCAATACTGCATTCTAATCACTGTGGCTCCTTCTTAAATTATAAAGAAGCAGATATAATTTATAATTTACCTTCTCTCTCTAAGATTATTATGAAAATTGCTTTTTTTCCTTGTCTTTTTTTTGGGAGAGCTTCCTCTTTTGTTGTATAAAATGTCCCCTCATAAAAGCTACACTTGTGCCCCAAACTATTTTTATGTCTGTACCTTTATTAAGATTATTAAAAATTCCTTTAACTTTTTTTTCAATCATCCATTACAATTGCTTTCTGAAACAATGTTTCATTTAACATCCCTCTGAAAGAACCGATTTTCCTTTTAAGTGCTAAATGCTGTGTCTGAAAAAGTTTTTGGCAGTATCTCTACTCTTTGAACAATAATAGCCAAATTCTTCAATTCTTGAAAAAGATCTACAGATAGTCCTCGACCACAATTGAGCTGAAACTTTATGTTGCTAAGTGAAACTTTTGTTGAGTGAATTTTGTCCCATTTTACGACCTTTCTTGCCAAGTTGTTACGTGAATCACTGCAGTTGAGTTAGTCACACTATTATTCAATGACTCTGGATTCCCCAGTGACTCTGCTTGTCAGAAGGTTGCAAAAGCTGATCACATGACCCAAGGATATTGCAACAGTCATAAATATGAACCAGTTGCCAAGCATCTAAATTTTGATCATGTGACCATAGAGATGCTGCAACTTTCGTAAGTGTGAAAAATATGTCACTTTTTTCAGCATCATTGTAACTTCGAACGGTCACTAAAAGAACTGTTGTAAGTTGTGGACTACCTGTACTGTATGTATTTGAACAAAAAGTATGTTCTTTTGCACCACTCCGTGCATCCACAATTATAAATTAACCATATTTTTTTAAGAAAACATCTTGGTAATTTACCTTGTCATTTTAATATCTTTCTCAAAAATGCAGTCTTCGTGTGGACACATTACTCCATTCCAATCTCCCATTAAAAGCCAGCTTTCATCTGTTATTTTACAGATTTATTCATAAGTTCCTTGTAAAATGTTATTTTAGCCTTATTTGGAGCATAAATTCCCTTTCTCAGAATGTTGATCCCATGCAAATAGCTTCAACCCGACATATCTACCATAATTATCTGTCAATATCAGTTCTGGTTGCAATTAGGGATTTATATATAAACCATTTCTCTTTTTGGCTCCTGCTGAAATAAATTGTTTACTCACGTTTTTGCATTTCTTTTAACAAATTACAGAATAACAAAATTGGAAGGGACCTTGGAGTTTCTTTAGTCCAACCCCTGCTTAAGTAGGAGAGTCTACCATTTCAGAGAAATGATTGTCCAGTCTCTTCTTAAAAACCTCCAGTGAGGCAGTAGCCATAACTTCTGAAGTCAAACCGTCCCACTAATTAATTGTTCTAAGTGTCAAGAAATTTATCCTTATTTCTAGGTTGCTTCTCTCCTTAATTAGCTGGTCAGTCAATCTCTGTCATAATTAATGGTCTATATTCTGTTGATCTGGAAAAAGAAGATCCTACACACCCAGGAAAAACATTAGGAAGGAAAAAAAAATAGGACTTTTAAATCCACGTAGGCCAGACATTTAGAAATGTCAATACCTATAGCACCTAACATGGTGAATTCCCTATTTTCTTGTGGCTGTTTTCTGGGCCCCTCTGTCACTTCCATTTACACTTCTTCCAATTCCCCTTGAATTTTTATTCTAGGAATTCTCTTAATTTTTGGAATGAATTCATTTAAATCTCTGTGTTCAAAAGGGAAGATCACTCTTTCCAATTTATCCCAGTGAAGTGGTATATTTTCTGTTTCAACTTGTCAGTAAAAATTAAATACTCTCTTCATTGTGCAGTATTATGATTCTGGTTGAGATTTGTTTAAGTACATCATATCTGCATTATTTATCTTCAACCTGGAAGTAAAAAGCGGCTGTAAAAAGTGATCTCTAGTCTTCCTCCTAACAAAGTGCATAATAGTATCCCTTGGTACATTTCTTAATTTTGCAAATTGCACGTTGATTCTATATCTCCATACAGCCATAAAATCTCACTTGATACCCTAATGACAGTCTATATTTGATTAATTTTTTTAATGGTTTGATGAGTTCATAATATGGAATAATGACATATTGCAATCTGTTTGCAATCTTATTTTAAACAGGGTTGATAAAGAGGATGAAAAGGCTGCCAGGGAACAAGAGCAAAGGAGAGTTCGGCAAGAAGAAAGGTGTGTTCCTTCTAGTTTATGGATGCCAGTCAGGCTTGCTTTTTCTAGTCTGGGTCATTTCATGCAAATCAAGAAATAAAGTTTGCTTCACAATTGAATGTTTTCTTGAAATTTTGCACAGATATAATAGGAGTGAGCACAAAAAAGGAAATTTGTTTCTTCTTGTGAATGAAGCAAACTTACTGTGATTGAATGTTTGTCCAAACTGTTTTCCATTTGACCAAAGCAAAACATGTAAGAATTTTTGATAAAACAAAATCCAGAGTGGTCTTATGGGTTGAGAAAGGCAAGGCTTGTCCCCTCCTCTAATTTTCCATTATTCTTCTATTCCTGTGTCCCAGCCTGCCTGCCAATTTCCCCAGCATCTTCCTGCCCCATAGCCGCAGTTTCATTTGAATCCAAGCATGATTCACCTACTCATCCTTTCTTTGATCATTTACCTTTTCTACCTTCCCAGGCATTGCTGATGTCCCTGCCTTTATCCCATTGTTTATTGTTCTGGAAGATGTCTGTGTAGAACACCAAGCACAAATGTTTAAGATCTCATTGCAGGAGTCCAAGATGCCCATATATGATGAATTATCTGAAAATTCCACATTAGATTAACTGCATATGTGCATGGTAATATATCTGTAAATCTGCCAGAATTATCAGTGCCATTCCTAGATCTTTTTACACCTAGATAGTAATGAAGGAAAAGTTTGAAAATGTGATTTTTTTAAAAAAAAAAAGCAAAATTCTTGCATAAAGGATTATACATTATTCAAAGTATTCCTGGACTTTAAAATGAGACCTGTAAGCTGGGTAAAAAGCACATTTTCTTAACATCTTTTAGAGGAAATTACTTTAATATAAATATGTCTCAGTTCCATTTTTTAAAATGATTTAGACGCAAATGGGTTTTTTATTATTTAGTATTAAGAATGTACTGAATATAAAACGCGTAGAATAGGCAGTATGGGATAGTCTATATTTGGACTGAAATTGTGGAAGTAGTTTTATACTAATCAGATTAAATGAAACTTTTGTAAAATCTCTGCATTATATACTGTATGTTCATCCGATAGTTTTCATTACATTGTTTTGATGTTTGACTGGAACATTTATTCCCTCTCTGGAGAGGTTTTCTGGTAATTATTCAGACTGTCTTATAATTCTGTTTTTTTTTTTTTTTTTGAAAATTTTATTTGGGTTTTCACAAAAAAAACATAATGCAAATAAAACATCTTTTTTTAAAAAATAGCATGGTCCCGGGTTACACTTCTTCATACAGACACAAATTCAATTTCATGCTCATTCTTGTGTTCTATTCCATATCTTATTACTGTTTTACATTTTCTACATAGTTTTTCCCCTCTTTTAATTTTCTCAACTTTATTTTGATTATCTCATCTCAATTCAAATAATTATATTTATACTTTTGTCTGTCCTGTTTCAATTTCATATTATCTTTTCTTATTAAACAAATTTTCTCCTGTAGTTACTAATTGGAGTATGATGCCTTTATATCTTTTAATTTTATCCATTCAACTCTTATTTAAGCTTCAATGTATACCTTTAAGATTATAACATTCAATATAATACATAACTTCCAATGAATTCTGCTTGGTACATTCTTAAAATACACACAATATTCTTAAAAAAAAGATTATATATATATGTAAATAAAACACTCATTCCATTCCAATTCAATTCTATCATTAATATTCATTAACATCTTAACATCTTTAACATTTCTTTTCAATTAAATATCATACTTCCTTGGGAACACTTATAAACTTTCCATAATTATTTTTTTCCATATTTACCTTCACTTATATTTTATAAATCATTAATAATTAAAATGTTCCCATCCTTTCCTAATTTATTTCTCTCATTCACTTTATTTCATTTGTTTATTAACAAGCATTCCACTAGATTACAATAAATATTTTATCCATCATTTTAAGCATATTTTCAAAGATTATTTCTATTTGTAATATAACAATACTATCTTATGAACCTTTGCAGAATCCCTTTTATAATTAAGTTTTCACCCATTATCTCTAAACAGGTTTATACTTTCAATTCTTATACCTTTGCCCTGTTTCTCTATATCTTGTTTCTGTCCTTTATAACTTCTTTCCTTTCCTTCTTCCCTCTCTTCTTCTCCCTCCCCTTTTTACCCCCTTGTCTCTCTACCTCAAATTCTCTCTTCTGTAATCCCCTCTTCTGTTGCTTTCTAATATTATACTTATTTTTCAAACTATTCTTCTTTTTTTTGGGGGGGGGGGTGTTTTTTCAAATCTTAAACTTTTCATTCTCTTTCCCCCCTTTCCTTTTTTCCCCTACATAAAATTACTTGATCATTAAAGATGGCTTCTTCTTTGTCCCAATCTTCTTGTTCTGCAAGCGTTTCATGTTGTTTCTCATAGTTCCAGATCTCCATTTCTAAGAGTTGAAATACGAAGCCAAAAGAACCTCTCCCTTCTTGTGCATCTTCTTTGTACTTTTTAACTTCCATTTTCAGTTCTTCTAAAAGTGGTGCCACTTTAAACACTTTTAAACAACTACCCGATTGATTTTAAGTCATTTAAATTTTAAGCCAAAAATCCAGAGATCACCAAGTAATCCAAATAATCCCAAACTGTTTCTTCTTGCTTCTTTTTTCAACTTTCTCTTCCTGGGGTTCTACTATTTTGTTGCCAAGTTTCAGTTAAAATGTATCTTTTAGGAATCTTGTTGAGGTTTTAGTTCCAGGCACTCTCCTCCATTTTTCCAGATCCTGCCCTTTTATTCTTTTTTTCTCCTTTCCTGCTTTTAAAAGCTTTTAAGTATCCAGAAATCTTTATTATTCCTTTGACATTTTATTTTCAGCTTAAATGCCTGTTGATGTCAGAGTGGATTTTTTTTCAATTTCTTGCTTAAGTCTCTTAGCTTTCAGTATATAGAAGGGAAGAGAAAAAACAAACCCAATCCTTTCCCTTTTCTCTCTCCTTCGCTGCTTCAAAATCTTCTTTGGGAACAATGTTATTTTTTTTTATAGTTTAAATACCAGGGTACCTTGCATTGTTGCTTTTGCAGATTAACCCGGTCAACCAAGACTTTCACTTCTTATCTTCCTCCTGCACATTCTTTTCCGGTCGAGTTCTTCTTTGAGGTGGCCATTTCTGACCACCGCTGCAACCGCCTTTGGGTAATGGCCAGCTGAGGAGGAGAGATGTGGCTCTCCTCAACCCTGCTGGCAGTCTCCCCCCTCTTCACCACCTCTACAGGATGGCTTAGCCCCAAAGTCAGCCGGCTTGGGGCGCTCCGGCGGCGAGCACGGATCGAAACCGTGCACGATCGTGGTTTCAGTCTGTCAGTGAAGAAACTCAAACTGGAAGTCCAGACTGTCTTATAATTCTAACCCATTATATTTTTATTTATTTGTGTTATTTACCCTATAAAGGGTAGTTTGTTTGGACTTCCACCTCTTCCATAAAATAACATGCTTGATCTTTTCCTACAGGAGAGCAGAGATGAAATCTAGACATGATGAAATCCGGAAAAAATATGGTAATGTATACTAGATTTTACATCGTTTTAAAGTAAAGCCTTTGTTACAAAGCCATTGTTTGTAATAAAATATAGAGGTGAGGTAAACTATCTTATATCATGATATTTTTGTTAGAAAGAGTAATGCTTAATGTTTTGGTGGGTTCTGATTATAAAGCCTAAAATAGTTTTCAGGACTATATTCTTCCTTTGGTGACTGCTACTTCTTTCCTCTAAAGTTTAATTTGAAAGGGGGTGAAGGAAGACAGTTGCACTGATGTTTGACATAGCAAGAATGGTGAATACCCACTGGTTTCAGTATTTGTGTTTCAGTAATTGTGATACGACTTCAAACGGTTGTTAGTGTCTTATCTAAAGAATGTAGAACGTATTTTATATACACATTAACTGATATTCAGAATGATAAAATACGTGACAGTTTCTTCGCAACTGAAAATACATATACTTGAGAAAACAATTTTACACAGTAGATATAAATAGCTTAACTGTAATAAATGTTTAACAATTGTTGAAAAACAAGCTGCTAATTTGAAGTGTTGAGCAAATTTTTTTCTTACTGTACCATATTACATCTGCAATCTGAATTATTAAATATTGACTATTGTAGGCTCGGCGATAGTACAGATTCAAGCAAAACACAGCACCATTTTCATTGGAAAATGTGTATTTATTGCAATAATAAGATATGCCCTAAATTACATGAAACCAGCTTGTTTTATTTTTTTATATCTTATTCTTACTTTGTTTTATGTATTTCCTATTAAAAACTATGGCCTTATTTTATATTGATATTCTTAATTTTAATCTTATGTTATAGCTTTGTTTTGCATGTTACAATCTGTTTTCTGTTTTGAGGTCCTATATTTCTGTACCTTTTGTTTTTTTAATCTGTGTCTATATAAAATTAATACTTTAGTAATTTTAAATCTGCCTTCTCTGTCCTATTTTAATTTTTAAGGCCATTTCTGCTGCAAGTTCTTCATACTTTACTCCTTTCCCTGCAAAATTACTTGTTCGTTGATTCCAGCCAATGCACTGCTGTCTTCTCTTCTGACCTCATGTGCTGGCAAAAATCTGATGGCTAGAGAGTAGGATTTTGAACACCTGCCTCTTATTCCATGATTTGGCCTCAGTGCTGCCTCCGTTAAATTTATGTGGAATCTTTTTTTCACCCCTGGGCTGCTGGCCCTCTGCATCAATCTTTCACTGTCCTTGCATGCCCGTATCTACATTCCTTCTGGCTACTGTGGTATCTAAGTTTAAGGTTCTCTAAACCCTGTTTCTGGCAGTTATAACATAGTGCGGTCTTCATTTTTAGTAATTGACAACTAATGCCCCTTTCCTCTTTTGAGTCATCAGAATGGAGCTGATAGCTAGAAAGCAGAGCTTAAGATGTCTTGTTCTCCTTTGGAGGAAAGCCCTCTTTTCAGTTCTCTTATGTCTTAACACTGGATTTTATGACATGGGTCTCCTGACTTCATTTTAAAAACCAAGAAAGCACATATAACATAAAAGTGCCCAGGACAATAAGAAGTTTTAAGTCTTGCTTCTTGCTGGAAGAAATGGGGTATGAAAACATTTTGAGGAGCAGAGATAGCATTTACCTTCTGGTGATCAGGAAGGACTTCATGATAAGGCCAGCTTCTGTTCCACTGCTACATGCCACTAATATTTTTAATGTTCTAAATAAGTATTTTTTTTTCTTTCAGGTTTGTTTAAAGAAGAAAATCCATATGCCAAATTTGAAAATAACTAAGATTTCTTTTGAAATACCCAAATATCATCTGGCAGTGCTGTCTATATAATGTACAGCTGTGTGAAAAAAATGTACATTAGATGCTTTAATTGCAAATAGAAAAATGGTCTTAATGCAAGATGGAACTGGCTATAATTACAGTGTCTGATAAAGACTGAAATTAATGAACAAACCAACATACCTCTAAAACTCTGGAGGCTGCAATATATTCATGTTATTTTTTTCCTAACTATTAAGCAGTTGCTTGTGCTACTATAATATTTTGCTTTTTGGGAATTCTTCAATTGCCAGCAAAATCTTAAGCCAAATTTATTAATGAATTGGGACAGGATGGTGCACATACTGTATCCTTTTCTCCTGTGACCAACAGTTTGAGACATTCTAATATTAATAGTAGAAATAAGACAAGGTTTTTAAGATCCTTGTATATACTTTGGAATTTCCTATACAAAAATATCATACACTTTAATAGATTCCCTGGCAAGTGACTACATTATTCCAGAAAGAAATAGCTCTCAAAATATTTTTTGTTATGGAATTCTAAAGATCTGCACTTTTATAAATTGATTCTACATTTCTTTGCAATATATGTTGAATCCTTCTGTTTTGTGCCTTTAAAAACTACCATAGAAGTAATTAAAACTGAATGTTAATAAGAGCTTGATACTGCTTTGAACTTTATATTGGCATCATTTAGCCATATGCATTTAAACACTAAATGTTTAGCTATATTCAGTCTTCTTAAATTACTTTAATATTGTAATAACAAATTTGCCAAACTCTTTAATGTATAAATGCATATCACGCTGTGTCCTTATGTATCCAAATGGTAACTTATTGTACAATGTCAGAATGTCCTTTATAACCACCATGTAAGTTTATATACTTTGTTTTATTGATAAAATCTTTCGGCTTGATGCAATAGTCTGATTTCAGACAATTCTACATTTTGAGTCTTATGCACTGGAGGGTAAACATTTTTATTTTTTTCTGACAAGTCATATCAAGACTAAGAAAAATTGCTTTTGTAATAATTGATGTTAATTGGAAAACAATTACTTTGAAAAAAACATTTAATAACTTTTAAAAGAAGGATACTTATAATTTACATATTTTTTCCTGAGTATAGCAGAAAATTTGGTGAAGAATATGGAACATTAGCCTTAATTTTTTTTATCTGAAAAGAGTTAAATAAAATGCTCATGCCCTGAAATATATAGTATTCTTCTGTAGTCCTATGAATATTGTGTTGTCAGTTGTACAGTAACTACAATTCCTTTGAAATGCTTTCATATATTTACTCTTCAGTTGACTGTTTTATAAAGGTGACAGTGAAGTTTCTCTAGAGCTTTCCTTGCTTGAATATATACATTTCCAAAAGATAAAACACTGTTACAAAAACTTCCGTGCAATTCATTTATCATATTAAGATTAAGAATAGTGAAAAATGTAAAATACTTGGCTAACTAAATAAAAAAAATAACATTTTAAAATCTCTTCCTATTAATCTTCACAACTCTTGATCTTAAAATGAGAACTTGCAAGTTAGACACTGCCTAAAAACATTTTCATGAACTTATCTAATAGAAGTTAACAGTAGAATTCCTCTTAATATATAAATTAATCTTGATGCAAAATTCATTGTAATGTACTGAAATTATTACTCATTTCTTCAATAAAGTTAAGGATTTCAAAGGATCTTTGAGAACATTATCTGGGTTTTGGTGATCATAAATGTTATCCTTAGTTCTCTTTGAAGAACATAAAAATCAATCTTGGCATTGCTAACAAAGGTAATCAGTGCCCTCTTGTGTTATTGGAGGTTACTGCTGTGTTATCCTACATATCTTCCTACAAAACTATTCTTCCCTGAATTGTACCTTGATTGTGCTTCCATTTGGACCAGAAATGTCTAAGTATTTTCTATAGAAGACATCTGGATAGAAGACTGTTGGAACTCTACAGCTTATGTACATATTGTAAAATTTTCTTTTAAGCAATTGTATTTATTTTAATGGTATTCCAGATTACCTAGCTGTAGCAAAATATGCATTAAATATTTGAGATATGAATAACACTAGAAACACTTAACATATATAAAGATATTTCTGTACCAGAATGCTGGATTGATGAAATAAGGTATAAAAATTATGATATACATATGCAGGTGCTTGAAAATAATGATCACCCACTAAAAAATATTAAAACTGACTTACAATTAATTTCTTGCTGTTTCCTTGCCACTATAAAATAAAGATTTCAGTGACTTCGACTTAATGAAACTTGGATGCCTTCTAAAATAACACGAAACATGCCTTTACACACTTTTCACCTGTGAATATGCTTACCATTGTGCTTAAATTAGGAAATAACTTTCTTAAAATCAAGCTGAGTTCCATGTTTGCAAAGAATACTCTGGTATACTGGCAATGAATCAGAGGTGGTATTCAGCAGATTCTGACCAGTTCTGGAGAACCGGTAGTGGAAATTTTGAGTAGTTTGGAGAACCAGCAAATCCCACCTCTGACTGGAGATTTTATAGTATCCTTCCCCTGCCACGCCCACAGAACGGTAGTAAAAAAAATTAGAATCCCACCACTGCAATGAACAATAGAAAGTAGAAGGGGTAATTGTAAAGCTTAAATGCATATTTTTTTAAAAAAAAATAATTCCACTTAAATTAAGAAAATGGCTAGTCTTCACTTCTCTGGTTTATTTTCTGTGAATGCATGTGTATACAGATTCATTATTTCTTAACATTTTCAGCAAAGGAAATTTTTGCATTTTTTGAGGGGTAATTTAATAGATGACTAATTCCTCTAGCTTTTGCCAATTTATCCAGAGAACTGTATTAAATTGTACCTTATTCCCATTTGCAATCTGTGGGGATAAATCTGCAAATTCATAGTGAACTTTTCATAGGGAAATAATTTTATTGCTTCAAATAGGATTGCCGTATTGCTCACTTATTTCCTACTTTTTAAAGGTATGCAGGAAAAGCTTTCACTTTCAAAGAACAAGACTTTCGTAACTCATACTGAAGAGTTCACGCATGTAGTGCCACAGGTGACTGGATTCATGGTAAGCCATAAACAATGGGTTTTTTAAAAAAAACTACTGCCACCCTTCATGTGACACTCAAAACACAAAACCCTGCATAGTGAGTCTAGGTTCATAATTAGTGAGCTGGGAACCTTGTCTCTTATGACTTGTGGATGTCAACTCCCAGAATTCCTGAGCCAGCCATTCTCAGGAATTCTGGGAGTTGAAGTCCATAAGTCATAAAAGGGCCAAGGTTCCCCACCCCTGGCTTAGAGTGATGCAGGATTTCATCATAGGCTAAAATTGTAGAGCAGTTGCATTTCACAATGGAAATACTTGTCTAATAATGTGTCTATATGTGGGCGTATGCATAGGATATGCATAAGAACAATACACCATCAATATTTTTCTGACCAATATTTTTAAACAAGTTGCTAATCCAGTCCCTGTAAACACTAAATACAAATAATGATGGATATATTGGCATTGTTCTAGTTCGTTTCATAATTACTGACTTCCCATTTCATGGGAAGGATTGAAATTTAAATAGCCTGTTCCAATTAAAATTCTAAACCACAGTTCGAAGGGAGACTTCCAAATGTAATCTTTTTCTTGCGACTGAGTGTTACAAAAGATACACGTGCTGAATAGTTTTCAGACGGCTCTTTTTTTCTTTTCCTACAACCGTACAGCCTAGTTCAAACCCCCTTTAGGTTAATAAGCCAATATTACGTCCACACCCAGTTCCCCAGCATTTTTTTTTTTAAAAAAAAGGGGAACTGGCCCCGCCTCTTCCTCCTCCCGCGCTCTAAGTGGCCACGCCCCCACCTCGTAACATTCTCTAGGAACCACAGAGCTCCCACTTCAGACGATCGTGACGCACCTTCGGCGCCATCACCTCCCCCACCCCATGGAGCGCGCTCCCGACGAGCCAAGCATCGTTCGGGAGCGCGCGCCGAGAACGTGCATGCCCCACGTGACCCGCTCAGGGCCAACAGGAAGCAGGAAAGCACTGGGCGCGAAGCGCGTTCACGCGAGCAGTTGCTGCAGGCGGGAGAGGCGAGCGAGGAGGGAAGCGGGGCTCAGAGCAGAGCGCGTGCAGACTCGCTCCCCGAGAGGTCTCTGCCTGACGCGTCGCCATGTCCGAGGAGAAACCTAAGGTAAGTTGGGTCGTCCTCGCTCCGCACAGTTTCGCTCTTCGTTAGATGTCTTGTCTCGCCTCCCTCCCACCGGAGGCCCAGGCCTCTCGGGAGTCTGCGGGTGGGTTATCGCCTCAAGGGGGGCTCTTGGGCTTCCGTGCTGCCGCGGCCGCGCTCGCCGCCTTGGAGAGCGGAGAGCAGGGCTCCTGCTGATAGGAAAACCCAGCTCACTCCCCCATCTTGGGCCCAGGGATGAGTGTTCCCCGCCCCGGTTGTGAGCGACAAACCGGACCCGCCTCACCCGGAAGGAGGGCACTGCGAGGGGCGGCTCGCCTACGCTCTTTCTCCCAGGAGCTCCCGCAGGAATTGAAAGGGTATTTAGGCCGCAGCCGCCTGCTTCTCTTTTAACACCTCTGACACTTTCGGTATCCGGGAGACCCCAGCAGGTAGATGGGCTCCTTCACAGTGTTCTGGGCTGCGTTATAATACGCCTTCCAACGGCGTTCCTCTTGCGTTGAGCTGCCCCCGGAGAACCTCTGCGATGGGGCGGCGTTAGGAGTTGGTTTGGTTTGGCGACAGCAGCGCGAGGTTCTCTCGCTACCGAGTTAGATAGCGCGGGATCTCACCACGTGTTTGGGAGTCTCGGCTTAAGTGAAAGGCCGACCCCGACTTCCTTTCCTCCTCCTCCTTTTGTCTTTTGCGTGCAATTAGTGGAGGTGGATCAGAGTCCTTCCCGAGGTCCCCAAAAGACGTTTTCCTCGCCGGTTGCTACATTTCGTTAGGAACTCGTTTTCCAAAATCGTTCCATGTTTTGGATTATAAACCACATAATCCTAGATATATATGGGGGGACCTCATATCGTTACCTGGAGAACCGGATGAGTGTAATTATTAGAGAGAGAGAGATCTTGCTTGCTGTCTTCTGAGTGCTGGTTGGGAAGTAAAACTCCTGAAACTTACAAGAGCTACTAATTTAATTGGAGATACTTTCTATTTACTTCAGTGGGATTTATTTCTAATATAGTATGCATCGATGAATTATGTGTCATCAAGCCAATGTTGACTCTTAGCAACCACTTAGCTAGAACTTCTCCATCTGTTCCTAGGACCTGGTCATTTAACTCTTCTTGTAAAATCATTTCATAACCTTACAATAAAATAATTTGGGTAGAAATGTAGCAAATTCTTTAAATTCTTACTAAGGTACAGTTTCTGGAGTTCAGGTTTTTTTTCTTCAAGAATTTGCTTATATATACAATAGTTTTACCTAAAGGCTCCAAGAGTATAAAAAGTTACAGCAAAGTAATGTCAAATAAAAATTAGAGTCAAAGACAAACCACATTAAATAGGGTTGGTACAATTTTTCACCCTAATGTAAATAAAGTTCTCCATCTATTCTTCCTTAATCTGTTGGTATCTTATATTTGTATTAGATTGCATGAAAATTTTCATGCCTCCTTTTCCCCCCCCTATAACATATGCTATTACTGAGTTATTGAAAGATTTTGTTTGAAAAATGGTCTGGCCATATTTATTTTCTGAAATGCAAGAGTATTTAAAGTTATGAGAAAAATGCCAGAAAACGTGGAACCTGAAAACATCTTAACATTTGCACTGCGAGGGTTAGAAGACAAAGCCCAGCACAGAGAGATCTAACAGGAGGAAGATAGGAAATTTGTGTGTATATATGGACACATACACCCCACTTTAGTAGTGGGGGAAAGTGTATGTGTCCATATGTACTGAAGACATGAGGCTGGAAGAATAAAGCAACATGACCGTAAATATTCCAATTAGCCACATAGTTTTCTCAAGGATGCTTTTTCAAAAGCAAGTGGACTGTTGTTTTTCCTATTTTGCTTCCAAGAAGTACTTATCTATCTATCCCCCCATCATTAGAACTGATGAAGCTTCTTGGATGAGAAGCCAAACATTTTCTTCTTCCTCAAGGAAAAAGCAGTCTGGTTGCCTTTTGAAAAAGCACCTTTGAGAGCACATCATGAAGTTGCAGTATAAGGGAGCACATATTGGTAAATATCAAATGAAAAGTGTTACATATTTTTGCAGGATTCTCTGTAATATTTAACTTCATAAACACTGATACATTTATATTCTGTTTGCAGGAAGGAGTAAAAACAGAAAACGACCATATCAATTTAAAAGTTGCTGGTCAAGATGGATCTGTGGTCCAGTTTAAAATAAAACGCCACACGCCATTAAGTAAATTAATGAAAGCTTATTGTGAGAGACAGGTAATTAAATTAACATTATTAAGACTTAACATTTATACTGAATATATTTTTGTCTGCCCAAGTTCTTGTCTTCCCAGGAGATCTGATGCTGAAATATTTCTCAAGTGCTAATGCAGTGGTGGTATAAAACATATACATTACATAAAATTAGATATACTTGTATTTCCAGCAACAGGTTTTATGTTTTTAAATTGCACCTATTTATACTGTATGCTGTATTCATTTAGTTAATGTATTTTACCTTTCTCATTAGGGAAGAACCAAGAATATCTATATTATAGGATCTGTTTTCATCATTTTTATAATTATTTTTCAATTTATATTACATTATTGCTAACAAGGAATAACTGGATTTAGATGGACCCAACTTACCTTGTCCAATATTATTACCTATCTGGTTTGTGTGTGTTTAGGATAGCTGTCTTTGTACTGAGCAAATTATTTTATATTTGTAATAGGGTGGTTTTGATTGATAAAATAGACATGTATTAAACATACATGCATGAACTTTGTTCCTGACTTACTTATCAAATGCATATGCGTGATCAATCAATTGTTAGTCTTAACAAAATGGGAGGTTTATTTATAACATTTGGGAACCATCCATCACCCTCACAAAGGGACTCTGGTTGCTATCCTTATGCTATATCCACTTTAACATAACCTAAGATTTGTTTTATGCAGATTTATCTATGCAAGCATTTTGTGTGTGTGTGTGTGTGTGTATAATATAGATATTTTTTCCTAGGGTTTGTCAATGAGACAGATTAGATTCAGATTTGATGGGCAACCAATTAATGAAACAGATACACCTGCACAGGTAAGAATCTCATTTCATATGATCAAGTTATTCTGGGTAGTGTACAACAATACTGGAAGTTAACAAAGTTAACAAATAAAATTAAAGACTAAAAGAATAACAGACGAAGGGATGTTAAAAAATAGTGGAGCCACTTCCCCAATTCTATGGGTTCCCCAGGTCTGCTGGCATAGCCAGGTCTTGAGGGACCTCTGAAAGCTCAACAATGATGTGGCCAACCTCACCTTGAAGATTCTACAGTGCAGGTGGCACAGTAGAAAAGGCCTACTGTTTAGAGCTTGCCAAATGTAAATTCCCTAGACAACAGAACACATAATATGCTCTCTCTACTAGATCTGATAGCATGGGCGGATGAAATTGGGAAGAGGTGGTCCTTCAAATAACCCAGCCCAGTGCCATGAAAGCCTTTAAAGGTCAACACCAGTACCTTGAACTGGATTTGTTACCAAACAAATCGGTAACCAATACAACTTGCAAAGCAGAGGTGTGATATATATCTATTAAAACCAAATAATTGCTTGCCCCGCTGCATTTTGTGCCAACTGAAATTTCCTGATACTTTTCAAGAGCAGCCCCATGTAGATTGCATTGCAGTAATGTAACCTAGAGTTTACCAGATGATCATGAGTAGGTCCCCTGCTATAGGAACAAATGCAAATGGCATACAGTATGGACTTGTGCAAAGGTTCTCTAAGTCACAACTGCTACTTGCTCTTCGATCAGGAGTTATGAATCTAGGACAGATCTAGGCATTTTACAGCCCACTGCCCATATCTGGCCTTTGGCTATCTGATCCATGGTGGTGGCAGCGGATGCCATGACAGCATCCCTATTGGTTTGATCCTCCACAACAGTCCAGTTTTGCATGGGGCCTTTTGGAAAAATGAATTGCCCACTCCTGGTCTAAGAGGACCCCCAGATTGCTCCCATGGTCTGTTTGAGGCGGTGTGACACCATCCAGTATCAAAGATAGTAAGGTCTCAGATCCAGAGAGGCTCAAAATCTGAAGCCACTGCATTTTGCCAGAGCTTACTTAAAGATTGTTCTCCTTCCAGACCCTCCATTTCTAAATCATAAAGTTCCTGACTGAATCATTATTAAAAACAATGAAGACTTTCCTATCCAGCTGATGAAATGGGGACAGGAGAGAAGAACAGGAGGAACAGGCATATAATACTAGTAACGAAATAACTGTAGGGCATAATCCTTCATTGATTACAATAAAGCTAATTGGTGTAAATATGAATTGTATTAACTGGGTCTTCCATATCATACAGTTAATAATAATTAGAAATAATAAACATTTTACAGTTAATACCAGTGCAATCCATTACTTGTTTTATTTGTACATATATGTTCTTGTTTGTAAGAAATAATTTTTCATGGTGAGAGCCTCCTCACCTATAAAATTAGTATTAATTATTGTATTTCACTTTGAATATACTTTTTGGAGAGTTCAGAAAATGCCACATGAACATGCTGCTTAGTAAGATTACAACTTTATATATTGCTGATATTTGATAATACATTATATTAAAATATAATTTCCAACTCTACATATGTGGTTGGGGAGAGCATGAATTAAACGTATCAACATATTTGCCTTCATTTGTAAACATATCTAAAAGATTTAAACTATTGTAAGTTGTTTTTAATTGCAGATTTAAAAAGAAAGTATTTTGCAGGATTAAAAAAAACAAGCTGAAGTTAAATTTTAAGAGCTAGTCTTGGAGTGGATGAAATATGTTCATTCGGCCCTGTATCAAAATAATTTGAATATGAATATTCTCTGTGTTTAGTGTTGTAGATTTAATTTTTATTTAAATCATTAGCCAGTAGTTGCTTGTAGTCATATTTAACCAAAATTTTGCCAAGTACCAACAGCATAAAACAGTGGTTCTCAACCTTTTCTTCACCAAGGACCCCCTTTAAATAGCTTTTGTGGCCACGGACCCCCAAGATATAACTCAATATTTACATAATCTTCAAGCCTTGGTGAACCCCCTGTGATGACATTGTGGTCCCCCGGCAATTTACAAATCATAGGTTGAGAACCATTGGCATAAAAGTATCTGGGAAAGAAAGGAGATTGTATGAACATCTATTGCATTTTGCTGAACAAGTATCAGTGCATTGCTTTTGACTATAAAGGAATATAATTGAAAATACAATGTTTTTTAAAAATATGGTTAATATTTCAATTTGTTTCTCAAGTTCCTATGAAAGATATGGAGCACCTTTATTAAGATTTTAATATACTTTCCAAGACACACATTAGTGTACACCGAAAAATCAAAACTGGAAAAATATAGGAGATATATTTTATGAAATATTTCCTAATATTTTTTATTTTACATAATATTTAAAATGAACAAGTAGCACATTAATATATATTTGTTATAGTTCCTGTACAAGTTATACAGTACTTTTTTTTTTCTCCAAAGATTTTCCGCTTCTAATTATGAGGTTTTCTTAAATCAGAAGAAATGGGATGTTGAAATAAGGGACAAATGATAAGAGATAACCACTTAAATGGATAAATAAACTTGGGCAACAATCTCTCCCCCCGCCCCCATGTAGTGCTTCTTGATTTTTATGAAAAAACAGCAAGATTTTTGTTTTAATTTTGAAGATCTGTTTTTACTTTACACCCAGTGGGCACGTTAGCAAAGATTATGCAGGAATCAGAGTTATATATAACAGTTTTAAGTAAGTATGACCTTGAAAATGAAGACTATGGATTTGTTTCCTAATTTGTGAGAATGTATTTCAGTATGAATATCTGGGAAATTTCTACAGCATTTAACTGGCCATCTCCCTTATAGAACTGTTGCAAAAAAAATCTAACAAGTTACAAAAATCAAATTATAACATTTTTTTAAACATTTGTCATTTGTGTTTTAACAGTTGGAAATGGAAGATGAAGATACTATTGATGTGTTTCAACAGCAAACTGGTGGCATATGCTAAGTGTCCTTTTCATTTCGGAAGAGGAATACAACATGTCACCCACTTCATCATCTGTCCTTGGATTTGCTATTAAATAGTAAACAAACGAACATGCCGATCATACAGGAATCTTCTCATGTTCTGAGGACACTTATCCAAATCCTTTTCCTGTCCCTGATATTCTGCGTGTGCAAGTTGAAGCTATATCTATGGAAAATAACTTCATAAAAATGGGCCCAGTAAAAAATTAAATTTTCAAATAAGTAATTATTGGTTGTTTACTGTCATCTTGTTCTTCTAAATGGTGACCTAAATACCAACCTACTGTACAATGAACATACTTAGTGCTGCCTTTAGTTGTTACTGTTTTATCACTTAATTATGACACTGTAAATATTGAAATACTTTTTCTTTGTGATAGGATTTTTTTCTCAAAAGATGTTTGAGACAGAAAAGAATTTTATCATAAACAATTATTACTCAAAACTGTTAATGGGGGATATATGAAAAGAACAATACTTGCAGAATGCTGATTATAGTGGCAGTTAAAGGTAATGCAAATGTACATGTGCTTTTTCATAATAAAATAGTATAGAATCAATTTTTAAAGTAATGGAAAGTTACTGAGTTTGTCAGCAATTACACTATTTGCATAAATAATATTCCACATTTACTATAAATTTCACATATCCAGGGTCGAGTACCAGAGTATTTGATAATTTTTACATTGATTGATCGGGATGTTTTAAGAAGCTCTCCTGTGCAATTCTTGTTAATTGTGCAACTCACCCAAAGCATTTCTTCAATGATTTATTGGACAATAAAAGATACATACCATTTTTTGTTAAAAGTTGACCTTATAGGCTCATTGCTTTATAGCCTGATCTGGGATTCAAACAGCTGGGTATTGTATTCTGCCTATCCATTAGGATCTTATGCTTCCTTTGTTGCAACCACTACCTGGGAAACCCAGTGGAGCAGAATGCAATACAAGAGTTGAATTTATCTTCTGATGAGTAAATTAAATCTTAACTTTACAAAACAAGGAATTTCACTATTAGTGCTACTAAATGTGCAAGTATACCATAGGGGAAATATTGAATGTGTAGGACCTGTTTCTCAAATATTTCACATTTAAATGACTGAGTAGTTACATGTGATTTGGATGCATCTAAATTAAATTAAAACTATTTTGTTTACTTTTTGTAAGCTTTTTCATTGCTGCTTGGGAAAGTACATTTCTGCCTTTTATATCTATATTTAACAGAGTACTGGTTTGCAAGAAACCCTTTTGAGAAGATTGCCTGTCTCAAACTATTCCCTATAATTGTAAATGGTCCAGGAAGGGATATTCATTTAAAATTGTTACTTGTTTATTCAATTGTACAATACTTGTCCTTTATTACTGTACACAGTAAACTAATTTGGTACTCTGTCTCTTGGCTTATGTTTAATGCTGCTGAATTTCATATGACTATATTCAAAGCTGTATCACTGAAATGCTGACAATTCATTCATATGCACATCTTTATTAAAATTCTTTTATTGAGAGTGGATTTAATATTTAGGGTATTAATGCATCTAGCAAAGAAATACAATTTCAATAACTGGTCCATCTTGAAGGTTTATATTTGTTATTTTGTAGCAGATGCTCAGGTGTTCCTTGTTCTAGCTCAGTGGTAGTCAACCTGGTCCCCACCGCCCACTAGTGGGCGTTCCAGCTTTCATGGTGGGCGGTAGGGGTTTTGTCCCCTTTTTTATAAATCACCATTACTGTGGGTGGTTAGAGAAAACTTTACTAGTAACAGATGCAAAAGTGGGTGGTAGTTATAAAAAGGTTTACTATTGTTTAGCTTGATCTAATTGGGTAATAGAAATGATTGCTATAAAAAGAAGAGAAATCTTGATAGTGAATTAAAGAGCAAGACCATGTTTTACATTCATTTTTCCAAAAATAGTTGCCCACTAAGTATGCCTAATTTGTTCCTTATGTTCTTAAATTTTATATGTCTAGTCTTTATACATTTTTTGAATTTCATATTTGATGCCATTAAGTTATGGCCTATTCCAAAATTTGCATTTGGAAGTATCTTTGGGTAACTAAATTACATACCTCAATTTTCTATTTTGTATTGGATAATCTATTTGATTCCATCTGGCACTGTTCAAATAAAATGAAATTTAATTTGCACCCCACTTTTCTCTATAGCACAGGTTGACTTCACCGAAGCTAATTCATTTAATCCAATAACCTAGTACTGTAGAGAAAGTTATTTTTTTTCATGGTTGAGAGTTTCAAATATGGGTTTCCTCACTAACCACCAGGTAATAAAACTTTGTATTAGTTGAAGTAGATATTAGCAATTAAAGAACTTTGCAAAAGTAACTGGAAACTATTATGTTCCTTGGTTGATACTACTTATGAAAGTATTTCTTTTCAGTCTAGTGACTCAGAAAAATGTTAACTATTTAAAGAGCTATGTGAATATCTTCCCATGATGCTCAGTCATTAAACATGAGAAATAGCATTGAAATACTTAATTCCACCTAAATTAAAATCCTCAAAAGCACTAGAAACGTCATAGTTTGTGGTAATATATGAGGGAATTGTTTTGGTATGCATGCAAATTGAAGGCTTTTTTCCTATAATTGACAAAATCTGAGTTAAAATGTAATTGGCTCCTATAATTCATTACTCAATTAGAGGGTACCCAACACAGCGAATGAGTGTGGAGTCATTTTTGGCAAATATTAGATTCGAGAGCAACAGGATTACTTAATACATGAAATATTTGAACTATCATAGTAAATTGCGTGGGCAGGACTAGAAATTAATTTCAAAGACGGGGAAGACTTTAAAAATACGAAACTCCTGTCCTGTGCAGACACGCCTATTGGAGAAACAAATATCTTGTCATATGCTTCCTTATAGAGATAAGTCCATTGTGTAGATGGGTATGTTTAGGATTCACGTTATATCTAATATCAATACAGAAGAGATGAAAATGTTTACTTCACTTTTGCAGTGAAACGTAGAACATTTATATTTCTCAGTCCCAATGCCGGCCTTTGCCCGTAGCAACAAAGTCTATGAAGTTCAGTTACTATGGTTCACTCTACACGTTTTGTAGCTCTGCATGCTGATTGCGAAGCGAGAGGGAGTAGATTTCGGTTGCGGTTGGTCTGTCTCTCTCTTTTATGGTAAAAGCCGCCCGGAAGTAGCGTTTCGGAGAAGAAAACCTAAACGGCCAAGTTGGAAGGGCGACTGGGCTTTCTCGAGGCTACCTGAGCCATGGCGGGCACGGCGCTCAAGCGCTTAATGGCGGAGTACAAGCGTGAGTAGTTAGGCTTTGGGTGCGGAAACGGAGAGATCGGGATGGACTGACTGTTTCTCGGTGTCGCCGGCTGTTTGTCTAGCCCGGTCGTGCGTTGACTCCTGGGCCCGTGGAAATGTCCTTACGACGGTTTTACCTGGCACGGCGCAGAAACGGGGTCGAGGAGGCTGCTGTGGGAGAGCAGGAGGCGGGCTTGACTGGTTTGGGCTGTCGCTCCTCTTTCACATATTCCTCAAAACCCCCCCCCCCCCATTTTGGGGGAGCAGGTCAAATTTTAAACTAATGTTTTTCAAACTTGACAATTTTAAAATGTATAGACTTCAGCTCTCACAATTCCCCAGCCAGCCTGTTGCCAAGTGTGAAAAATATTGAACTGGGAAACAAAATAGAAGGTAGATGGAGAATTAAGCTGTAAAAATCCTGTGGTGGTCAGCCCTTAAATTCTCTTTCCTGATCTGCTCACTACTGAGGCGACTTAACACTAGAGGACAATATTCGTTTTGCCTCTGGTCTGAGTGATAGAATAAATGGAATTAGGTCAGAGTCCCTTGAACGATTTTAACAAACTTGATTGCAACATTTGAACCTGCAAGATACTGTGTGATTCTTTCAGATGTCAGGAATTCTTACATGAGGAAAGGTAGCATGTCAGGAGTTTAGTGTGCGTTACCTTCTTTAAATGTAATTCTTTTTGCATACAAATTTATCTGAAAACTAGACAATCTATGAGATCATCTGGAAATTTCAGTTTCACAGCAGTCATAGGTCCTGCATGTGTTATGCATTCTTTAAGTTAGTGGATTTGAGATATTTTGATTTAGAGGAGGAGCTACTTCCAACTACCTGTTAGCTTCCCCAATGACTTTGTGTGTGGGAAGCTGGCAGGGAGTGTTGGAAATCATGTGAAAACAGCAGACCATGGTGGTGCTGCATGGTAGCGCAGTGGTACAGTAGGGGTCAATACAAATCATCTGAAAATCCTTAAAATTTCAATTCCATGGGAATCATGGGTCCCTGTATTTGGACACATTCTGTAAGTTTACCCGTTTGAAGTACATTGATTCAAAAAAAAATTGTTCTGTGATACACTGTTTCAACCAACTGAAGGTTACAAACGATATACAAAAGAGTTTTAACAGTACTGTATATAGATGGCTGCTTTCTTTTTCATAAGGAAACAAATATGGAATTGTCTGGATTAATAAAGTTCATTAACACTTTGCAACGTATAAACTGGTTTGTGGTTGTTGAATTGCCTTTGTGTAGGACAGCTTGAAATGGTAAATGTAAAAAAAGTGGATTTCATGTAAATCAACAGATTATTATAACTGATCCTCAGAGTGTAAAGTATGGTGACAGAACCATCAATGTTTCCTGATTCAGAATTGAAGCACAGTGGTGAAGCTTATGTTTTGATTACAGAACAGCCTAGCCTAAGATCAATCCTTTCCATCTTTTCACTAGTCTGAATCTTTGGAGACTTTGTGTCATTCACCATGTGTTCTAACTGTGCATGACAAGTTCTTAAGTATGTATGCACAAACACAAAGTATATATGTGCAAAAGCAATAACTACAATAGGAAACATTCTTTTATTGTTTAAGTTTGTTGTTAAATAAACCAGAGCTAGCTAAATAAACTAAAGATAGCCTCCAGATGTTCAACTAAGTTTTCACAACATAAACACTTGTGAAGAATAATAGGAAGTTTAGTCCAAAAATAATACCTGGAAAACTCTATATATTAGCTATCTCTGAGGTGAATGGTAGAATGAAATTGACAAATGCAATGAACTCTGTGTATTGTAACCTTGTTCAGTCTTGCCTTGAAATGTGATTAAACATCAGGACTTCATGAATGACAGTCATATATCTACCAATTACCCATTAGTCCATATGTATAGAGGGCCATGATTATTCAGTATAAAAAGGGATAATTAAATGGTCTTTTGATTTGATGTTGCATCTTTTCCACTAGAGAGAGCAATAGCTCCTCTTTTCACTTTGGTTGGTGTTTCTCGTTCTTCTTTTTACCTACCTTTCTATTTTATTTTTTTCCTAGAAAAGTACCGAGGAGCTAAATTTTTGGATGAAGATGAGACATTTGTTAAAGATTTCACAAATCTAATAATTATCAATTGACAATATGTATGACAGATCAAAATTAATAGAAATGTATGTTTAAAAGATTGTTTTTTTAACATAGATAATTTCAAAGAGAAAAGGCTTTTCCAGAATTTTCCAGAATACTGCTACTGTAATTGTGCAATGATGTGCATAATGGAGGAAGATTCAGTTTATGCATTCCACTCTTTTGCAAATGTATTTGGAAATATCTTCTTAAAATGTAGCCGTGTGTATTGTTTACTTTTATTGTAAAGATTTTCCTTTTTCTTAGTTACTAGGCAGAATTATCAAGGTAATGTAAATTTCTTGGCCAACTGCTTCGCCAATTTTGTTTTCATGTTCTGAAAAGTATGAATTATAAATAAATTAATACTGAAATTATTTATTATTCATTTTAGAGTTGACTTTGAATCCTCCTGAAGGCATTGTAGCAGGTATGATATTCTATTTAAAAATATACCTGTATCTTGAAATTAGAAAGCCTATATTAACATAATATTTTTTTTAAATAGGGCCTATGAATGAAGAAAATTTCTTTGAGTGGGAAGCTTTGATAATGTAAGTTATTTGAATAGTGTACATTTAAATTATGGATGGACTTCCACCACTGAACATCATAAATAAAAAAATGACTTTGTGAATTTTCTGATAATCAAAATGTCAAATTTTAGAATTCTGGAACAGTTCAGACTTATCTGTCTATCCACATAAGTCACTGTTATGCTTGCAAGTTTATGAGTTTTATAATGCACTAATTTGTCTTAAGACAAGATTTTGTAAGCCACCGAAAGTTGGTGGCCCTAACAACTATAAGTAAATAAATAATAAAAGATAGAATTTGCTGATCAAATAGGTTTCATTTTATTTGTTCATAAATGTTTGCATTGATCTCTACAATGTCTGAAAGAACCTTCAATGTTTATAGTACTATAGAAGCATTATACCAGTAATAGTTTATATACCATAGAGAAACCCAAGATGTATTGCAGATATGAAGATGCCAGTTTATCTTCCTGGACAAATTTATAATGTGGAAGAAGAATTTCATTGATGTGTTCTCTTTTATCTAATACAATCATTGCAAAATGCAATTTGAATACAAAAAGATGAAATTACTTAATGCAGTAGTTTTTAGTCTCTTATATTTTGTATCCCATCAGTTACTCAGTTTGTTGTTATTAAAATAATGCCATGAATGACTTGTAGTGATCCTCACTACAACTGCCATCAGCAATGAGCTAAGAGACAGGGAGCACTCTTTGAATATGGATCTGCTCTTTCAGGGAGATGGTACAATCCCATCCAAAACAGACTGTGTCCATGTTTCTTTTGATCAACTGCACTTATATTTTGTCTGGATTAAATTTTGTATCTCTGCTATTATTGAACTTGAAGGGTACCAACTGCTTTCTTAGAATGGGTTGGTGAGGAGCAGCAAAGTGGGTATCATTAGCACGCCAATTGAACTGTACTTCAAAGCTCCAGAGAATCTTCTCCTGTGGTTTCATGTAGACCAGGGGTGTCAAACTCATGTCCTCATGGTGGTGTCATGTGATGTATCGGAACTTTTTTCCCCTTCACTAAACTGGGTAGGGGTGGGGCCAGCATGTGATGCATCTAGCCCGTGGGCCACGAGTTTGACACCCCTGATGTAGATGTTAACGATAGTAGATAATATTGAATCTTGTAGCACAGAGTAGGTCAGTAAAGTCTAGCCCTACTAAATGTTTCAGAAAAAATATAATAAATTACAGATTTTAACTCCAAGTGATCTAGAAAGAATAACACATCTGTATTTCACAGACATACCCTGTTTAGTTTTTTACTAGGGCATTCACCAAGTTGAAAACAGTTGCAGTGCCATGCCAACATCATCATGACTGGTTGTAGGATGGTTCATTAGCAGTATTCCTACCTTTCTGAGCCATCCAAATGCAGCAACATGCACTCACAAACAGCAGACTAGTAGATGGAGTTCCTAGTCAAAAATAATTCATATAAAGTAAGGCTTTTGGAAGCATTTAGAAGAGATGTTTATGGAGATTCTCAGTCATCCAGATTTTCTTTAGAATTGAATGAGAAGCAAAACATCTTCAAGGGAAACAAAAGTCCAGTTGCCTCTTGAAAAAACACTTTTGGAATTAAGAAGAGATGTTTTGGAAAGAATGGGAGTGTGAACGAAGTAGTTTTCTTTGAAACATTCAGGCCATGTTTTTTGCAAGACTCACATGGATGCTTCAGAAGGTCATCCTGGCTTTCTCCATTTGCTAAGAATACATAGTTACAAGTCTCATTCTGTGAGGAAGCAGTGCTGTCTGAGAATATACAGTCTTGGGAGGTTTGACCTGCAAGCAGGGAAACCTCCTGATGGTGGAAAACACTGTTTTTCTTGCATAGTGTATGTGGGAAAAGTGAATATCTTCCCATCTTCAATTTTCTGAAGGAGGTTGATAGAGAGGGGAGGGACCTCTTGGACATTTGCTGTGCAGTAATAATAGTGTTAAACAAATTATAAAGATCAGAAAGATTTGTAGTCATAGGTTTTTTTCTTTAGAAATGTACTTTTTCCTTTGACATTTGACTTCTTGATTTTTTGTATTTGTGAGGCTTTTGAAATGCATAAATGCAATATATTATAGAAATACTAAAATAAATTAAAGATCCTAATTAAGTAACTGACCTGCACATTCAAATCAAATCAAATCTCTATTATGGTCAAAGGCCAACATAAAGAGGATGGGGTACAGTCAATTTAAAGGCATAGACCAGTGTTTTTCAACCTTGGCGACTTTAGGATGGCTGGACTTCAACATTCAAAATTCCCTAGGCAGCATGGCAGTTAGCCACCTTAGCAATTTTAAGGTGGGTGGACTTCAATTCCCAGAATTCCCTAGCCAGCATGGAGTTTGGCAACCTTAGCAATTTTAAGATGGATGGACTTCAACTCTGATTGGGAAATTCTGGGAGTTGAAGTCCACCCATCTTAAAGTTGCCAAGGTTGAGAAATACTGGTACAGCCAATACAATCAGACTCCACAAATATTCATAATGATAAAAAACTAAAAATATACAACAGAAAATATAAAAAGTTCTTCACACAGTTCATGTATTATTGTTACAGTATTATATTTATGGCACTAAATAGGAATATAACTATACAACTGTTGCATAAAACTATAAAACCAAAACTATTGTATAAGTAGCCCTTGATTTATGACCACAATTGGACCCTAAATTTCCATTGCTATGCAAGGCAGTTGTTAAGTGAGTTACATTCCATTTTATGACCCTTTTTGCCATAGTTTTAACTATGTAGTCATTAAGCAAATATGGGTTTCCCCATTAACTTTGCTTGTCGGAAACCAGCTAGAAGGGTTACCAATAGTGATCACACAGTCCTGGATAGTATTACAGTGGACATAAACATATGTCAGTTGCCAAGTGCCTGAATTTTGATCATGTGCTGTTATAACTTTAAATGGTCACTAAACAAATGCAAGTCGACTATCTGTAATAACCTTACTTAAAATGATTCCCAAAATATGAGAAAAAGTCATGCAGTTTCTATTGATCATTTGCTTAATAATTTGTTTCTAATAAACTATGCTTGTTTAACTCATTTAGAATCTTATGCATGTCTAAAGCATGTCTAAAGCATATAAAATACCCATCTTTCTTCCAATAAATGAATTAATTTGACTATTAGATTATGATTGTGAATACTGTTGTATGCAAATAAATGTACTGAACTTTATGCAGGCTAATATGTTTTTTCTATTTCTTATCAGAATATCTTAGATTTGGAATTGATGATTTGTTTAAATCTTACTGTTCATTATGATAACAATGTAGGCACTGGACATTGTTGGAACTTGGTTTACCCTACAGCTAATTTTTAAAATAATAAGTACAACTTTAATACAATATCTCCAAAGGTTATCTAGATATGTAATTGTATGTTTTAGTTTATATGATATGTGAATTTGTTTCAACTTGGAATTCCCCTTTGTGCATTAGGAAGTGGAAGGATAAAATAAAAACAGAAGAAATAAGCTTCCTTATGAACATAAAACCCTGATTATCTCATTAACTGGCTTCATGTAAATGTTTGCCTATTTAAGTATATCATTGCACAAACACTCTCCACCTTTTTATTTTCTTTAGCAATATTTTAATTTTGTATAATGCAAGTTGTAGTCAAATGTTTTGTGTATATTCCAAGATACATGATGACTGCATAAAACTAATATTCTGAGGTGTTCCATTTTGTCTCTTGTTATTTCAGATGAAATCATTGATTTATAATGAAAACTCTTGCAGTTCTTTTTTTTTTACATTAAAAATAATTTATTATAAAACTTCAGTTTTTGACTTCCAAGATGTGATGAACACCCCTCATAAAATGATAGAAACAAACTGTAGACAGTTGATTCAAAAACTACCATTTTAGGTTTTCTTAGAAACATTTACAAAATGCATGTTAAATATAAAAATAATATAAGATAATATTTATGTGAAATTATCAATATTTGTACCACATAAATTTAGTTTTAAACAAGATCTTCTACTTGAATGAATACTGTAGCAAGATTCTATCAAATGGTATCAGTTTCATTCAGTTGAGGTCAGTTTTTTTTCTTTCTACTTTCCTTTTGTATGGTGAGCCAAACTAGAATACAATAACATTAAATAACAGTAGAAAATCACAAATTGCTTAGTGTGCAGAAGCCTATATTTGATGCCTGGCTTTAATGTAATAACTCTTTGTAATTGAATACACCCAAATATAATGAAGCTTTGTTTTGAACAAATACATATTCTTTCATATCATTGTAAGGCCTAGTCGCTGATACACCTGAGAAGATAAAAGTTGGGGTCCTTGGACAGGAATATACTTGAAAAGAATTAAAATTAGAATTAGAAATTACAAAATTAGAATTACAAAGATTCAAAGCTGTTTATGTAAATAACATTCAAATTATATATTGTATGTTAATAGATACAATATATTTTACATTGTCTTAAGGAATATGAAGATGCAGTAGTGGGAAATATTTAAATTGGCCTTTTCCTTGCTAATTTAAATATAAATTATTGGGGCAGATTAGTTGTACCTAGATATGCTGTTGGAGACATGCACAGAAGGAATATGGTGAGAGTAAAAGGGTAGGAAAAGAGAATCAGTATTGTACCACTAGGCGGAAAAGGGTTGTACTACTAGGTTCTCAAAAAAAAAAAAAGTGAACTTGAGAATAGGGCTTAATAATTATGTTGGATGTACATACTATATTGGACACAGGATAGCAATAAATGTAAAGTCAGGTGAAATAAATGAAGGCTTTGTTGAAATAAAACTTGAAGAACATGGTAGATCTATAAGAGAAATTAGAAAAAGACAGGAAAAAATGATGAACTATACCATAAGAGCTATATGATGGTGATATTTTTCACATAGTAATCTAGTTCTCTACAGATAAAACTCTTAAAGAAACATGTGTGGATGCTTTCCCATTAATGATTTTAGTTGCTAGTATGTACTTATATGTTTCTAGTGTGTATTATCTTAACACAATCATTTAAAAACATTTTGGATGCGTTCCTTATGCTAGGATAGCCTGCATTTCTTAAATATGAATATTGAAGTTGCTTTGACTTGATGGGTTACATTTCATTGCATACATCTTGTCATAAGGCCATGACTAAAGTTATTTTATAAGCCTTGGTTATTTAAAAACTTTTAAATTGCAGCTTTTGACACCTTTGTCCATGTTGAATAAGCTGTGCTCAAAGCACCATTTTCAGCGCTTGCTAGCAATATTTCTTGACGTGCAGTACTAAAATCTGGAACATGCCTTGGAGACAGATTGAATATAATTAAATAAACACACCCTAGCAATTATGTAGTATTGTGACCTTCCTTATAACTTAAATGTACAAGCTTTGATTTCTCAGCCCTTCAGCTTTTTGTTTTAGAGTAGTGGTAATGATATGAGAAAGTTTAGCCTAAATTCCTTTCAGCTTCTTTCCTGAAATAAAGTAATCTGATGAAATTGGTATAGATTTACTGGAGGGACTGTTTAGTGCAGAACTGTTGTGCTGTAACTATTAACTGATAATGCAATGCAGGATGATTGGTGGAGAGCAGAGGCTTGCTATCTTTTTTTATCAGTTCTGTTATCTGTATTTTATTTAAATATCTGCTTTTGGCAAAAGCTAAATCAAAAGAGAATTCAGTAAAAGTTGAAATCTAAGCTCTTGCAAAGTTCTCTTAATGTTTCAGAATTTCACTAGAACGTTATGTCAACTTTATTAAAATAATTAATAATATAGAGGTGGTTCCAGCTAAGAAATTATGAAGTTTTGTATCACTAGTCCTAGCCATATTTGAATAAGAAGAGACTTATACTTTAAGAGAAGCTGCGTTGATTTAAATCATACCATACATATTCTCTTTAGATAACTCAGACTGTCATTAGTTAGGAAAAACACTTTTCTAATAATTAGATAGCCAGTTTTATTTAAAAAAAAATACAAGTTTAAAATTTATGGTAGTTATACAACCATACCAATTTAGGGGACTTTTCTCATTTGCATCTAACTGTAACACAAATCTGTGTTACATATTTAGGATCTAATGTTCTTATCCCCAAGCACCCTGTTTCACAGTCAGAATGATTCCTTTCAAGGATGAAATATTAGTAAGTTGGAAGGGCATTTTCATACTTCTGGTAAAGTTTGAATGGGATGTTTTACAGCTAGAATATTTTGACATTGAAACAATTTGTACACCTCTAGGACAGGGATGTCAAACTCATGGCCCTCTGTTATGGTTACATGAAAACAGACTTTAAATTTAATACATATCAGTAGTAAAGCTTTGAAATGCTACAGATTGTATATAATTCATTTGTGTGTCACTGATTTAATGTTTGTTTATTTAAAAGTATTAAATAGCTCCAGACTTTAAAATTCTCTTTCTTTCTTTCTTTCTTTCTTTCTTTCTTTCTTTCTTTCTTTCT